CTATCTATCTATCTATCTATCTATCTATCTATCTATCTATCTATCTATCATCTTTATTCTTTTCTCATACATTCCATACTGACTGCAGTTTCTCCCCCTCCATTTCTCCTAGTCCCTCCCTTCCCTCCTCTCTCCCTCAGATCATTCCTCCTCTGTTTCCCTTCAGAATAGTTTTGGATTAAATTTTTAATTAAAAGATTAAAAGATTGGGGAGATTAAAAGGATCTCTCCAAGAGAGCAGACATGATCAAATCATAGAAATATCACAATAAAACCTATGAATACAAATAATATGTTGATAATTTAAATTGAGCAAAACACATTAGGTATATAGGTGACCGATAAGCATAGGAAAAGAATTGCAACCCCATGAAAAAAACAAAACAAAACAAACCACCTCTCTACAATTGATCTATCGACCCAACTTTACCAAGATTCCAAGAACTTTAAAAGTAGTGGTCAAGTGGCTGGGGAGATGACTCAGTACTTGTAATACTCACTTCCTGGGCACTTACATACCCAGTAAAGTATTTGCCATGCAAGCATGATGATGTGTGTCTGAACCCCTAGAGTTCACATTAAAAAGCAACCAGGGCACAGAAGAACACACCTGTAATCCCAGTTTAGGGCAAAATGGGAGGTGGAGACAGGGAACCCCTGGAAGACTTTGCCCAGCTAGCCTGGCACATACAGCAGGCACATAGCGAAGAGACCTTGTCTCAAACAGGGTGAAGAGGGAGGACCTACACCCAAGATCATCTTCTGACCTCCACATGTGTGCTCTGGCATGTGCATGCCTATGCTCAGGGACACACATGGCATATGTGTGCACGTCATACATATGCAGAGAGAGGGGAATGGAGAGAGGGAGGGAGGGGCCGAAGGAGGGAAGAAAAGAAGAAGAGAGAACACACGTTAAAGAAGGAAGCTGGGCAGAAAAGACTGTATATTTTATGAATCTGTTTACATAACTTTCTAGAAAAGACAAAACACAGAGACAGAAGAGTAGATAGCCAGGTGTGTGGGGGCATGATTAACTATAAACCTTTATTAGCAGATAGAAATTTATAAAACTAAATTATGGACAACTGAGAAAATTTGCTAAAATTCAGCAAACAGTGTTTACAGTGAGTGAATTTTGTGGTGTGTAACTTGTATTTCTGGTTATCCATTGGGCAATTTTGACCACCAATCTTATGATTTGATATTTCTATAATCATCTTTTATAATATATATTTTCTGTGTTTTACAGAGAACTTAAAGTGCAGAACCCCTTGCCTGATTTTCTACTTGACAATCATTTGTTTGATTTGCATAGAATTCACTCATGTGTATATCCAAAGAAATTAATGTCCAGATAAACAGCATACTGAGTACTTCCCAGCAAAGATGAACACACAGTCTACTTGATGTAGTTTGCGGTTTTATGCTGTCCCTGACACCTGCACTCTAGTGTCATTTACTCAAATTAACTTGTTTGTTTTCGAGACAGGGTTTCTCTGTGTAGCCTGTGTGGCTGTCCTGGACTCACTTTGTAGACCAGGCCGGCCTGGAACTCACAGAGATCTGCCTGCCTCTGCCTCCCAGAGTGCTGGGATTACAGGTGTGCACCACCGCGCCCAGCTCCACGTACACCACTTAACCGTCTGTTCTGTTTCTGTCTCAGTCGCCCAGCAGCCCCCTGTACACGATGAAGTCCGGGAACCGAGTTGCAACATTGATGATCTATGTGAGTCTCACGCTGGGAAAGCCAGGGCTTCTTACTCAGTGGCCAGTTAAACTATTCTATTGTGTGGGCTTTCAAAGTGGTTTCATAGATTGGTTTTATCTGGTACTGAACACAAAAATCTCTAGGAATTTTGTACATTTCAGGGCAGCTTTTCCCCACTTTGGTTAGGCATAGACATAATGGGATACCAGACAGACTTCTATCCTCAGAGCTTGCGTGTGAAGGTCTAAATATGACCTTGCCTGGGCTTTGGGCCAGGATGGGGAAAGCCAGGAGATCACGGACTTGAACAACACAGGAAGAAGATACAGTTGCCTCCCATCTTAAGATCCCAAAGCCTGGTTGGTACTGAAAAGCATAGACCAGTCCATGAGCCTGTGGACTTGGAGGAGAAAGAGAAGAGAAAGGAGCAAGTTAGACTCTGAGAGGGGAGAGTGAAGAGATATAAAGTCAGTAAGTGTAAAACCTCCTCTGTCTCCCATAGAGTCCACACGCTTAAATAAAACAGTAAAGTGATCATTTGGCCTCCCCTCTAAGTCCCTAGCCTGGTCTCACAGGATGCAGTCCCAGCCCTTATCAACAGTATCGTTATCCTTCAGACTATGAAGGTTCACTTTCTTCACCACAAACCTGCCGAAATTCCAATCCTGTCTCTCAGCGGGGACTTTTAGAAGCAATCATTTACTGGAGGAGATTAGTTGATGCTTCTGGGTCTGGGTCGTTTGGCTAGGAGCAAGTGTAGATGAGACTTACTGGAAGGGTAAGCCTGCTGACTACCGGGGCTCCAAATAGCACCCCAAAATGAAGGCCTCGCTTTAGGCTCTGTGGAAGAACAGACAGTCTCTTGGCATGCCCTCTGCCCGGAGGGCTGGATCTGGTCTTCACAGCACAGCCAGAAAGCCAGTCAGAGGCTGGCGTTCAAAATCATCTATGTCAAGTATTCCAACGTGTCCCCCAGTGGGCCAGTTACACTTACCACTTCCTGTGGTAAGAGAATGTCCTCTAGAAAGTGTCATAGAACTCTGTGGCTGTCCCTGTACCCCACCAAGCAAGTACGGGAAGAAACGTCCAAAGACCAATCAGTGTCATAGGGACCCAAGATGGGCCCAGTTGTGTCCAGTGCTTGCGTCTCCATATCGATATGACAGCAGGTATTTCTCAAGACAGTTGTTGAGGTTTATGGGAAGCACAAGCAATACAGTATGGAGGGAATAATCTTTAAGAAATGCAGGAAGAAGATTTAGGTGAAAGCCAACCAGTTAGTGACTTTTCTACTCAGTCTAGACATAAGATCGGTCCAGGTATGAACCAAGGGAAAGCAGACAGAATGAACATTCCTCTTCTTTCCCCCAAACGCAGGAGCAAATCGGTGTACTCATTGGTCTTGAACATGGGCAGAGGAACGGGGGAGGCAAGGAACACTTCAAACATGGCTGCCATTTCCAGGTTCTGAACTGGCAAGCCAGCTGTGTTTTCTCTAAGTCCTGGCATCTGGATTCCTGGTGCTTTTGTGTAGCACAGGTGATGGTAGTGGAGTTGACTGCCATAGGATTAAAAAGCGTGAGCCTTACTGGGTTCTAGGTGGGGTAGGACCAGCTCTCCTGTGTCCTGCAGCCAGAGCAAATGTAATAACAGAAACAATGTATTTACATTAATGCTTTAACCTAGTAACCGCGAGGTTGACATTTTTTCCCATGAACACAAATCAAAATGCAAAAATAACTTCACCCATCAAGGTGTTAAGTGCAGCATTGTTTATAGTCGTATTCAGAAATAACTTACATGTTTGTAAGTGTAGCACAATGCTTTTGAAGGACATTGGGGCCAGACAGCATTGGCGCAGCTCAAATCCTGGCTCTAACTGGGAAGAGTTAAGTGACCTTTGTGTGGTCCTTTATCTCTCCGAGACTTGGTTTCCTCATCTGTAAATTGTGAATAATAACGGCAATCTTAACTCAACAGGATTCTCGTCAGGACCAAGGGGACAATACATTTGTGCAGACTTAGTATAACGCTGCTGTAAATGCCAACTACTAATCCGTGCAAACCGTGACCGTCTGTGTGTGTGCTCCTAGACGGCGAGATGACAGGGGATGTTAGTTCTTAATACTTTCATATATTACAAATGTTTATATTATTTTTTGGAAAATACAAAGGAAAATGTATATTAAGAAAATACATCCAGAGCTAAGATTCTTCAGTCAGTAAAATGTTTGCCTTGCAAAATATGAGGACCTTGTTTGATCTCCAGGACCCATATCAAAATCTAGGCTTGGAGACTAGTGCTGGAGAGACAGAGACAGGTATATCCATGGGACTCAGGGGCCAGCTAGCCTAGCCCCCTGGGCAAATTCCAGGTCAGAGAGAGACCTTGTCTCAAAAGACAAGGTAGACAGTGTCTGAGAGTTGAGGTTGGCTTTTAGCCATGGGTGCAGCTCATGCACGTGCCCCCCTCTCCAGGCGTGGGGTGTGGAGTTTAACACCAAATTATTCCTCAGTGTCTTAGGGTTACTCTCTGTGGTGATACACCAGGACCAAAACAACGTGGAGAAGCAGAGGAAAGGGTTTATTTGGCTTCCTCTTCACAGTTCATCCAAGGAAGACAGACACAGAACCCAGAGCAGAAACCGGGAGGCAGGAGCTGATACAGAGGCCATGATGGGTGCACTTTCACTGGATTGCTCCCTTGGCTTTCTCAGCCTTTCTAATAGCACCCAGGACCAGCAGCCCAGGGATAGCCCCATTCACCATGAGCTGGGCCTTCCCCCATCAATCACTACTTAAGAAAATGCCCTGCAAGCTTGCCCACAGCCCTAGCTTATGGAGGCATCTTCTTAAGCAAAGTTTCCTCCCCTCTTGTGACTTTAGCTTGTGTCAAATTGACATAGAACTAGTCAGCACACTCAGCATAGGTAACCAGGAAGGAATCTGAGTGATCTGAGGACCACAGTGGGGCAAATAAATAGTTCCTATGATGCCAACTTTCCTGATTTAGATACTTAGAGAGAAATAGATTTAATAAAAAATATTTGTGCGGTGGTCGAGGTGGCTCAGCGCTTCAGAACGGGGCCTGCTCTTGCATAGAACCAGAGTTCTGTTCCTATACCTGCATCAGGCATCCTACAACTGCGCATGGCTCTAGCTTTTCCAAGCTCCAAGGGCACCTGCACACGTGAACACACACACAGGCATATACTAATTATTTTATTTTGTGTATGAATGTTTTGCCTGCGTGTATATTTGTGTGTCACATGCATGCCTGGTGCCCAAGGAGGCCAGGAAAGGATTTTGGATCCTCTGGAAGTGGAGTTACAGGTGATTTGAGCTGCCATGTGGGTGCTGGGAACCAAACCTGATCCCCATCAAGAACAAGTGCTCTTACCCACACTGATCTCCAACCCCTACACGTAATTTTTAAAAACTAAACAAATATTTTCAAAACTTTTGGATCTACTTGTTATAGCCCTCCATCAAGATGGTAGCCAGAAGCAAAAGAACAAGAGGGCAATTCCAAAATCTCATCTTGTGGTGAGAAGCCCCACAATTTCTCCCATAACTGAAACAGCGGACCCCGGCATACAGTCTGTGCAGAAATCACCTCTAAGTTCATGAGCATGTGATGGTGAAGGGCTGTCAGCAGTTATCTTAACTCTGTCTTCTTCCTCTTGCATGCTAGCTGAGCTCAGTAGAGGCTGGAGGAGCCACGGCCTTCATCTATGGCAACTTCAGCGTGCCTGTGGTTAAGGTGAGTGGGTCCTGGCCCTAGAAGATGGGTTTGTGATGCTTGCAACGGTGTAGAACTCACCCATCTTTCTGCAGGCTGTTGCCTGGGAAGATGGATAAAAAGAGATCTTTCTTGAATCCCAAAGACAGCCTCCCACTCCTGTCTGTCACTACAGCATGTTCTTGTGGTGTCATTTTATTTCCATGTCTCGTTTTTCTTCCAAGTAGACGGTGGCATGGCAGTCTTCCTTGTCACTGCGGGTTCCTCAGAGGTAAGAACTCTGAGTTTCCTTCAGCTTCTCTACAGTAACTAGTCCCCAGAGAGCTAAGGCCCCGAGACTCAGAGCAAGGCCTAGAATCCGGTCCCTAGAGCTCAGACACTGACTGTCGTGATGACACACTGCAGTGACAGCTGTGGCCCTCCAGAGAGCCAGTGCCGAGAGGCTCGTTTCATGAGTGACTCTATCCTCCACGGTTCAGAGGAATCAAACTCGCCCTTAGTAACCCGGGAAGGAAATAAAGTAGGAGAGGCCAGGTCTGCAGCACAGAGACAGGGCCCGCTGCACCCTGGGCACCCAGTAAGCAGCTGATAGTGCCCAGGGCTTGGGCTGGCTGTCTAATGTGTCTTCTTGCCAAAGGCTCTACAAGTCTAAAGGCCATGGTTGAAGGGAGTCTTAGGGAGTGGATAAGGACACAGTGCATGGAGGAGAACATAGGCTATGGGGTCAGAACTCAGGGGCCTGAGGCCTGACTTTGCTTCTTGGGTGCCTGATATCAAGGCCCTAAGGCAGGAGGACTGTGGTGTACCTGCTCCCAGCTGTGTGTCTGGGATGCCCTTTTCTACCCTGGGGGTCGTGTATGGTGTTTGTCTGCAGTGACCCTATGAGCCCATGCCTACCTGGCTTCCAGCACTCACCACATTGTCCTATTCTGCTGTCTTTCACATCTGTCTCTTTTGAGCTCCCCAAGAGCAGAGCTGGGTGTGGTTTGTCTCCACATGCCAGGCCTGGGGCAGAGCAGGCCATGAGGCACTGACGCTTTCACCCTCTGGTCTTTCAGTGCCTGCGTGCTCCAAACTGCATGGGGGTAAAAGAGTTTCCTTATCTAGTGGCACAAATTCTGTGCCCTTATTTGCACGCCTACCAAATGTCTGGGATTCTGGGCTGACTTCCCCCCCTTCTACCCCCCGGGGGCTGGGCCCTTTTTTTCAGAATGCAGCGCTGTTTTGGTGGAACCTGCACAGGAGTGGAGAGGGAGACAGCGACACACTTCACGCTGGCTGTCCTGTCCTGGTGGGAGATAAGTGGGGTAAGGCTGTCTTTGTGGGTGAGAGAAGGGAGTGAGGGTCATAGAAAGGTGAATGGGAGTGGGTGGAGACAGGGAGAGCCTCCCTTCTGAAGGCTTCATGAGACCACCTGCTACCAGTGATACGAATGGATCAGCAATGAGGGCCCCCCAGCACACTGGGGCCTATGAAGAGCAGAGCCAGAGTAAGTGCTGGCCAAGGGTCACTGGCCTGGCCAGGGTGAGACTTCACCTCTGAGCACAGAGGAGAGGAGTCAGACGGTAGAGGTCCTTCCCCATCTGCATCAAGGCAAGCACCATCAAACCTGCTGCTGCCGTTTGCGCCCCAAGCGAGTGCTTAGAAAGCAGCAGGACAGCAGAGGTGGGTGGGCCTGCTCGTGGTGGATGGACATGTTCCCTGGGCACATGTGTGGGGGAGCACCTCTCTGAAGCTAGAAAGGCAAGTGGGAGATGGCTGTCATGTTGACAGGGATGCCAGGAGAAGCAGTCTTTCTTCCCTGTTACCCAGCAGTGGGGCTTTTGGAATGGTGACTGAGCCAAGTGCCATGCATCTGAAAATCAGTACAAGATCTGCTGGGTGATTTCTGGAGGTCGATATGCTTGCTAAGCCAGAAGGAGCAGAACTGCACAGCTTGGCCAGGCCTAGGCTAAGCAGAGAAACAGTAGGCTTTTAGGCCGTGCTCCCATGCCCTGTGACCACCTCCCTGCTGAGGCCGTCTCCCTCCCTGCTCTCCTTCAGTGGCCAACAAGTGGATACATGAGTATGGACAGGAATTCCGAAGACCCTGCAGCACCAACCCTGAGGAATGAAGCGCTGGCAGATGGCAGCTTGTCAGAGAAGCCAGAGCCATGGGTAGAGGGGAGCACAGCCTCCTGAAGGAAGGCTACTGCCTTTTAAGTGGGAGTTGAGGAAAGGTCTTTCCCAGGAAACCCCTCAGAATTTGCATTTGTTTCTACTCCAGCTGTGAGACTGGGAGCAGAATGGATAATACAAAAGAGGCCTAACAGGTTTCAGACATTGGTGAGGATAAAATGGATGAGCTCAGTATAGAACACTTGTTTAGCATGTGTAAATGCCTGGGTTCTGTTCACTAGCACTGAACACACACACATATATAAACACATACAGCCGTGCATACACACACATACAAAATACCTACATGTATTATATATACATGTATTATATACTTACATACATAACACATATGCACACACGAGTATACACATACATACAAGCACACACATGCACTCATACATACACATACTCCACCACCACCACACACACAAATTTGCAAACAGCGCATCAGCTGACGCCTGCTGCTGCTCCAGCAGAAGAGCCTGACTCACAGGGCTCCGTCCCATCACCAGTGGGTAGATCATGTGATGACTTTTTCTTAAAGTGGAAAACAATTGTGTTTTTTTTAAATGATGGTTTTTATTGCCATTAAAATGTTTTTAAATCTCCTCATCTAACAGAGAATATCCTTCCATGATGTTGATCCAGAAAAACCGAAGTAGTGCCATTGATTTGTGCTTCTGTAGCCCAGGCCCCACGCCCCACGCCCCACGCCCCACTTCCACAGCCCTGTTCCGGACTTGCTGACATTGTTCCTCAGAGCCTACCACCTCCTGTCCCTCCGTGTCCTCACAGGAGCTTTCCTCATTTCATGCAAGGTCCCTTTCCCTGACCACCTCCTTCGAGCCTCTCTGCTGTATCCACCGCATTTCCTTGCTAATGCCCGTTTGCTGAGCAGACTTCATTCCTTTGCTAATCTGGGCCACTTGCTTTCCCGGCCTCCCTGTTCTCTGTTGATGCCTCTGTCAGAGCCACGTCTCCACTCTTGCCTGAGTGCTTGCCTGGACTCTCAGAATCCCCAGAGGGGCTGGTTTGAAATAGGCAAGCAGAAGCAGAAATTTTATAGGCAAAGCCTGACGGTCCTTCCTGCAGAAGGCCGAGAGCCTTCTTGGGATGGAGTGTCTAAGTGCGTGTGCTGACAGACTACTGAGGTTGCTTGGTTTGGGTTCCTCCCTGGGGACCTGGGTGAGGACTGGGCAGTTAGACTCTGTTTTCACATCTGTCTGCTTCCTCCCCCAACCTTCTGCTGACTGAACTCCCCAACCCAGCCTCCCTCGCTCTCTCCCTTCTGGTGAGGCCTCTGGCGCTCTGCTGTCCGGCTCCCGTGAATGTGCCCTGTATTTATGCCAAGTGTGACAAGATTCAGGAAATGACTGTCACCTATGCACCCTATCTCCTCCGGTTCCACAAGGATGGGCCTGAAAGAAAACTGCCATCTACCGTGAGACCACCCCACTTCTCTAAGCTCGGGCTTCTCACAGTTACTGGGTTAGTCTGACCGAATCATAGCCATGGCGCATACAGCGAGCTCACTCGGATGGTTCTAAAGTGGGCCGGTGATGGGCCGGCAGGTAAAGTGCTTTCTGTGCAATTCTGACAACCCTGGGCACCTGCCTGGTAAGAAAGAGGCTGCACAGCAGTGAATGTCACTGTCACTCAGCCTGTCTTAGTTACTTTTCTATTGCTATGTTAGAACACCACGACCAAGGCAACCTACAGGAGAAAGTGTATTTGGGGTTATAGTTTCGGAGTGTGCGCTAATGACCATTATGAGGGGGAGCACGGCAGAAGGCGGGTATGATGCTGCAGCAGTAGCTGGGCCTCACAAATTAAGACTCAATCATGAGGAAAAAAGAGAAACTTGGAATGGCACAAATCTTTTGAAACCTTGTCAGCTCTCAGCGACACACCTCCTTCAACAAGGTTACACCACCCAATCCTTCCCAAACAGTTCCACCAACTGGAGACCAAGTATTCAAACATAAAGCCTATGGGGTCCATTCTCATCCAAACCACAAGGCCTGTCTTCTGCACATTTATCCCTGTCCATCCCTCTGGTGTGGCTCAGGCTAGCCAGGTGTATGCTGGGCTGAGAGTTGCAGTCAGATCCAGGACATGCTGCTGTGCAGCCTTGGGCAAATCACTTCCAGGTCAGAGCTGCCCTCTCACCTGCAGGAGTCACTGCCAACCTGCGAGCCAACCTGCTCCTCAGATGGGGGGTGGGGCTCCCAGGTTTTAAGTGGCATCTGTTATTCTCCACTTAGGTTCCTCTGTTCTCAGAAGGTAGCATCTCCACTGACCACGAAGAAAACCCTTCCTCACCCTCACTCAGTTAATGGCTCAGGTAACCCAGCTTGGCACACACCAGCTAATTGGCTAGTCTCAGGCTTCGAGGTTCTGCCTAGCTACACACTGAGGTCTTCCAGTGGAGTGTGGAGAGAGGAAGCCAGCTTGAGGAATAAGGGTGCCTCAGGAGCTGGCGTAACTTGCTGAGCCCTGGACCCAGGCTACAGTGTATTAGATTCTGGTTGATGATGCAGTTGATGACTGGACAGTACCACAAATATGCGTGCCTACAAGGAAGGAGGTGGTGCCCTGGGCCTCCTCTGCTGCCATCTTAGACTTTTTTTTTTTTTTTTTTTTTTTTTGAGACAGGGTGGCCTTGTTGTCCTGGAACTCACTCTGTAAACCAGGCTGGCCTCAAACTCACAGAGATCTGCCAGCCTCTGCCTCCCGAGTGCTGGGATTAAAGGCGCGTCCCACCGCTGCCTGGCTATCTTAGGCTCTTAATGCTTTGTTTTTAAATTTTTATTTTTTTATGTACTTATTATTTTAAAATATCATTTGTTTGTTTGTGTGCGCATGCATGTGGGTGATTGCAGAAGCCACAAAAGGGTATCCAATGACCCGGAGCTGGAGTTACAGGCAGTTACGAGCACCCTGATGTGAATGCTAGAAACTGAAGCTAGGTTCTGTGCCAGAGCAGTAAGCGCTCTCAACCACGGCCGGCCGTCTCGGCTCTCCAGTCCTGTGTCTTCCCTCTTGGTGTTTTGAGCGCTTCCCTCTGAACCTCCAGGTGTCAGCATGCCGCTCAACTCAACATAGCGCCTTCCCGACCTCTCTTTCTGAAGCAGTTAGCTTGTCTTGTTTGGTCCATCTCCAAAAACCCTGACCCCATTAATTCCCTCTCCCATCACTGTGACCCTGCTTAATGTGGCGCCTCCTTCCCTGGATCACAGATGCCTTTTCTTCTTCTTTTGAGATTATCATGTAATTACATGACTTTTTCCTTTCCCTTCTTCCAAACCGCCCTTGCTCTCAATTATGGCCTATTTTTTTCACTAATTGCTGCATATGTATATATGTATACGCATGTATGTTTCTAAATATAACCTGCTCAGTCTATTTAATCGTACTCATGTGTTTTCGGGACTCCCTCCCATTCTCAGCATTCCTTAGTTGCCTGTGTTTCGAGTAGGGCCAAGGCCTCGTGGTCTTTCCCCCATCTACTTTAGCCTGTGTCATTTGTGTCATTCTCGTTCAGCTCATGTTGAGGCAGTCATAGTGGTGTAGTTCTGATGTTACTGGGAGACACAATCTCACAGCAAACTCTCTGACCCTCGAGCTCTTACAATCTTTTTTGTCCCTTCTTCCTGTAATGCTCCTTGATCCCTTTTGTGCAAGAGTTATATTGTAGACATGGCCCTTGGGACCCAGCTCCACAACTCTGCACTTTGATTGCATTAGTTTTCTGTAACGGTCTCTGTTGAAAAGAGAAGTCTCGTTGATGAGGGGAGAGAACTACACTTAGCCGTGGGTATAAGGACAAATGTTTGAATGTGGTTGGGATTATCCTCCAAGATCCACGACTTTCCTAGCCCTGGGAAGTTGGCTACCTTCCGTCCTGGACATGACGTTCATCTTGTTGAGTGGGCCTTAGGTCCACTTGAGCCTTCGGTTATCAAGGTATGTGTGTCACTGATGCACCCTTAGGGTTATAGTGCCGCGCTGGTGGTTGTGGTTCATAGGCATCATAGCTGTTGGTTGCCCTCCTCCTTTGGAAGCTTGTTTGATACCTTCTGGTGCCATGAAAGCTAGTCGTCAGGGAGGGGGAATTCAGGTCATTTCCGGCTCTGGGTTCTGAAGTGCACGGTGTCTTCAGCAATAGGGACTTAACCTTGCAAGCCTGTAGGAGGGAGGGGCAACCAAAGGCCTGGTGTTGGGGGGTTTTGTTAGGTAGGTAGCCTCAGGCTCTTGGAGGGAATGTCAGCCCAGAAGAGATCATTTAAACTATCTATGTATGTTATATAAAGACTTAGGTTTAGGTGTATTTGTATTGGTTGGGTTACTATTTCTGTGATAAAACACCACAACTAAAGCAACATCACAGTTTATCATCAAAGAAAGTCAGGACGGGTACTGAAGCAGGGCAGGAGCCTGGAGGCAGAAGCTGATACAGAGGTCATGGAGGGGTGCTGTTTACTGGCTTGCTCAGCCTGCTTTTTTATAGAACCCAGGACCACCCACAATGGGCTGGGCCCTGCCCATCAATCACTAAGAAACTGTCCTATAGCCAGAGGTTATGGAGGATGTTATACAGCATTTTCTCAACTGAGTCCCTCCTTTCAGAGAACTCTAGCTTGAGTCAGGCTGACATAAAAGTAGTCAGCTTGGAAATACAGGGGTTTTGTTGCTTATTTATTTGTTTCTTTTGTAAGTGGTTCATTCCTTATGACTCTCTCAGTCATCCTTAGCATTATTTTAGCCCACAGCTGTCTCTTACTGGTCTAAGACAACCTTAGCCTGGAGCCCAGGTTACCAAAGTCACTTTCATTTGGGAGAAAAAAAACAAAACAACAAAACCCCACCTAATTTGTCTTGTGACTGTTTCTTACATGGTTGCTGGGCTTCTGAAGGTAACTTCATGTCTGTGTGGCAGTGCTCTGCCCAGTGAGCCAGCTCCCGAGTCAGTTCCCCTGCCAATTTGTCTTTCTTTAGTGATAGGACAGCCTTTGGTTTGACTCAAATGTTGTTTTTGACCCTGCAGCAGTCCCTCAAGGGTGCTAGGATCTTCTTCTTGCCTGCTTATAGGTTGTGCTGGGTGTTTTTAATGGGCAGCACACAGTAGGTACTCCTTAGACATCAGAAGTGGAAGAAAGATCCTTTCTCTGTTAGGACGTGGTAGGTATCAAGCAGACTTGGAACTAAAGGCACAGATGCTCACCCGAGTTGTGTCTGTGGGCGAGCCATTGCACATCTGTCTCTGAACTTCAGTCACCTTGCCTTTAACTGGAGAGGATGCCCACATTTGATGGTCACACACAACACATCATTCCCGATGTGCAGTCCCCAGTGAAGCCCAATTAACACTTCATTCATTCTCAGCCTCCACCCACCAGGCACAAAGCTCTCCTTTCTTTTGTCACCCTCCTCTTGCTCTTCGGTGCTGATGTTCCTCTGAGCAAAACAGCTGCCAACTTCAGCTCAGCTTGCTTGCAAATGATCACCACAGCTGGGCTTGTTGACTGATGCCTTAAAACACACAGACACACACACACACACACACACACACACACACACGGGAAGAGGCAGGGAGAGTCACTGAAACCTCA